ATAAACGTATGTCAATACAGGAAGAGCTTTTACATTTAGGTAGGATAAAACCAGGATGTATTAAGGCTTTTCCTGAATTATTAAGATCTTTTAATTAGCTCAATTTACCCAGGAAAGACAGTGTGCTACCTTCAGTGCCTTTCCCCCTTTTCAGTGGTGTCAGCAAAAAATCAGCCAGAGAGGCGAAAGAAGAAAGAAAAGCCAGAAAACAACCCAGAGACCACTCTGTGTAGAAATACCCAGCAGTAGGGAATTGCCTAGACAACCAAGGCTGTATTCAGACTATCTAACTTTATTAATTTGCTGACAGCCTGCCACTTCTCACTGGCATCAGTGAGCAAGCGAGGTAAACTGCAGCTAATTAAAAGCTAGGTGCTTTCTTCAAAGACTGTTTTAGACAGATGCTGGTCTTGCCCAACTGAAATGCCAACCCACTTTAAGTGTCTCTGCAATCTCCACAGTCAGGCAATTTATACCAACTTGGTATATTTGAATGTGTTGTGCAGAAGGATGTCCAGGTATCCTAAATATGAACCATGTCCGACACGTATTTGTAGGTCAGATAATTACCAAAAGTTGAAGCCTTTAGCAGGATGAGAAGGTATTCCTCTCCATCGTTGATTTGAAATAGTTTTAGCTTGTATGAAAACAGACTCATAAGACTGGAAAATATCTCCAGCCTTAGGCTGTATCAAAACATTTGTGACAGATTTGAATGGACTTAGGTGCAAGTCATGTAAGGTCAAGTTTCCATCTGAGAAACCATTTGCATTAGCGGTCCTACCACCACAGTAACACAGAGAAAGAGGCACTAATGAGGCACATTAATATGGGGAACAGCTATTTGCTACGTCCTCAAGAATAAATGTAGATGAACTCATAGAGAAGCTGTGCTTCCAATCCTTCCTTGTTGTGCAGGGTTTTTATAGAGGTTCACACAACATGCCGGACCGTGGAGTGAGATGATTTGAGACCTAGTTTGGGCACAGTATGTCAGTATGGCAAAGAATATATGTTCTGTATTAGTCAAACTCACCTGACACAGATTCAACTGTATCTCCTCGTGCATTTTGGTGACTGAGCAGTGCATACCTGTCTGAATGTGCCTGCTCAGAGAGGCATAGGTTCCTCACTGGAAAATAGTCTGGGCAGAAAATATTCAGTCTTTACACCCATGTGTGGGTAAGCTTCCTTGACAGAAGCAGATGGCAAGTTCATGTGCTTCTATGTTAGAAATGTCTGTCATTCTCCTGTTTCTTCTATGTCCTGTATCTTAGGTTATGCTCTTCTCAATGCCAGTTAAAACGTAGGTGTAAAACACAGAAGGCACGTTCATTTATAACTACACAGACTATAATTATGTGTAGTCTAGGGCTTGTTTCCTGAACTAGAAAGGAGGAAAAATGGGTTAGGTGGGTGTGAATAAAGTAACAAGCAGGAACATATCTTTTAGAGGTTATGAAACCACTTTGATTTCCCAGTATCAGAAATGCTGCCTATGAACAAACAAATCAGAAAACTGCCCACAGGCTGAGAGTTGGGACAAATACAAGAGAACTGGGAACTGATAAGGGACTATTAACAAATTTCTGATCCAGCCTAGGAACTTAGCATTGTAAGCAAAAATGGAGGAGAAATATGAAGTCACCCCTACAGCTTATTTGCAGAAAGATAAATGCAATCTTGGGATTACCAGGTGAGATATTTCAGTGAGAAACGAGGACTTTAATGTCATTGTATGAAGCATCAGTGAGACCTTTTCCCATTTAGTATTATAACTACTTTCAGTCATCCATATGCACTTTTAAGATTAATTGAAACCAGAGGAGATGGAGGGAAGAGGTCTGAGGTGAATTGAGAGTCATTTAGGAAAGAAGATTGAAAAGCCAGTCCAGTATAGCTTGCGGCAAGGAAGGAAGGAGACAAGAACGAGCTCCATAAAAATACTTGAGTAAAGAGAAGTGAGCACAACAGCTACTGAGATGAAAGCCGATGCTGGTGCCAGAGTATGTGGGAATAAACTGGTGCTGGACATGACAGGAAGGGTCCTGACTGTCAGGGTAATGGGCAGTCTGGAAGACTCTCCTAGAAGGAGTAACAGGCAGAAAACACAACCTTGCTCTAAGTTGGAGCATAGTCCTTTCATGAAAATAACCATAAACAACACTGTGTGTGACATGGCAGAGAACTGGGCTATGTAAGCCAGGATCCTCCTGCACTTCTAGTTCTAAATTGCCTAACTGGAATAGAACAGCAGCAAACCAAGGCCTTTGGCCACTTGTTACTGGAGATATGTGGATATTTTTGCAGCAGTCGCAATGCCAGCAGCTCCAGTGTCCTGGCTAAACACCAATATATTCCTCTGCTATTTAAGTCCCCCCTGTGGTTTCACTTAGTAATGCTACTCTTTGCTCCCTGCCCAAAAATTGTGGCACAATGCTGATTTTTTCTGTGCTTAAAAAATGTTTCCTATTTACTGAATTGCTCTTCAAAACTGTAGTATAATTCACTCTGGAGTGTAACTGTGTTGCATTTTAACCTCCACAGAAACAGCATATGCAAGTGTGGAGAGAAGACGGGATAAAAAATAGCTATACAAAAATAATCCTTACGACAGCACTGAGCCCAAGTGAGCAATATTACCCTTATTTTACAGTAAAGAACTGCTGATTCTTTTCATCTATAAGCAAATGGAGTTTGAAACCTTTCCCGTGAAAACACAATAAGCAGATGTGATTTGGGGCTTTGCTGTCAGCTGTAGCCTTAAAACTATCTCTGGAAGCTTGGTCTTCAACCTTAGTTCATAAGCCTTTCAATGAAGTCTGAAGTTGAATTCTGGCTTTCCGTCAAAATCAGAGAAAATTAATGACAGTGGCCTAAAGACCCCAATTTGCACTGGCAGGCTAGGATTTTGGAACAGTATGAATTTTCCAAGGTGTATGTGTCGATGACTGTTAACCTGCATTACCAGTATTGCAACAGTGCCTGAATCCTCCCAAACAAGAATAATGACATGTCCTATCCCAGATGTGTATCTATGGATGGCAGATATTACACAGAACAAGGTATTATTATTATTATTATTTAATTCTTGTAACAATCACTGGAGCGGCAGAGCTACTCCCACAGCTGCGTTAAATATCATGACTAAAATATGCAATCCTTTTATTATTTCATCTTCTATGAGAAAAGTGAACTGTCGTGTTTCAACAGAAGATTTTAAGTGCACACTTCTCTGTAAGTATGATGAAAAATGCCACTCACAAAATGTGCCTTGTTATTCCAGTTTTGCCTATATTCAGTTAATGCAGCCAAGTATACGGATACCCAATATAGACAATATGGCTTGGGTCTAGAGCTGTGCGGGTAGTATGGACAAAACATGGACTCATCTGCCCCGAGAGTGGGATAAATTAGCCTACACAGAGCTCTGCCTCGACAAGTTACTTTAATATTTGAATGGATTTCGGTTAGAGATGGCTTGAGTAGAGCTGACTGCAAGCACAAGCCAAGTAGGCAGATTTTCAAGGGCATTTACCACCAGGACATGAAAGCTGCTGAGTTAAGAAACTTTTTGCCTAATTTTGCTGTGCCAGACTCCCCAGGAAGGGAAGGTGCAGGAGGAAAAGCTGCTCCTGCTGGAGCAAGCAGAAAAGTGCTGGCCTTCCACTGCAACTCTTTTACACCCTGTGGCACAGACAGGCCACCCTTCCTTGGGGTCTGGGAGAACTTCAGGTGTGCCAGCTTTGATGATCTGGGGTAGGTTGATGAGGGCCAAGACCCCCTTTTCTCAGCAGCAGTGTGCGTGCAGTGGTGCCTCCCATGGCCTTGCAGAGAAGATGGGGAGATGTGTGGTAGCAGCAGCTCTGAGGGGTTGGGACAGGTGCCTGGCCAGGCCCTGCTCTCCAGGACAGGTTTGTTGCAGAGGATATTCATGGTGTGGAATGAAATTTGGTCTGCTAGATATCCTGGAACCACCTCCTGGGGATAGCGACTGAAATACTGAACACAGTCCAAGTGGTGTAGCCAGTAGTGCTAAGGAGTGCTGCAGCACTTTGAATCAACAGTTCCTCTGGTACTAGAGTCTTTGGGTCCAGAGATATCACTTTGCTAATAGGTGACAAAAGTGCAAATAGGGCCAGATTACTCACTGCCAGGATGGAAGAGCCTCCTGCCCAACCTGATAGAGAGAGCTTTCATCCCTGATAAGGGCAAGGGCACTTCTACACCAGAGACAGTGCAGATTATCCCTGGCCACACTCTCTAGGAGAAGGTGCCAGCCCACATTCATACAGGTTCTTCTTCCACTCTCAGCCTCACTATCACTTCCCTCACAGTCTGTTTCCAGGTGTTCACTCCTCATCCATCAGCCTCATCTGGGCTGCATTCGTGGTAAGGATGCAGCAAAAAGATGCCGCTTTTTAGTGACAAGGCAGCACCGCAGTGCCCAGGCTCCCAGTGGGTGCCAGGGCTCTCGCCAACGAGACCTTCCGTCCCAACCCATCGCGGAGGGGAAAACTTTGCTTTCCTGGGGGGCAAGTGACCACGGAGAGCTCTGGGTCTGCAGCAGCGTTATAGTGGTACGTACTGACACCCAATGCCAGGCTCCAAAGGCTCGGGTGCCGCTCGGCCGCGCTGACCTGAGGCAGCGGTCTGCCCGCCCGCTCGCAGCACCACCGGCTTCGAGCCGGCAGGACAGCTCGGGCCAGGAGAGGGAGCCGTGGCCCGCGCTCGGAGCCCGCCTCCCCTGGCAGGACACCGTGAGCTGCGGGAGGGACGCCGCGGCAGCCCTTCCGCGTTGCAAACCCGCCTCTGCCCGCCCGCTCTCGGGGCTCCCCCCGCCACGGCTGCTGCCGGTTCCCCGGAGTAACTCTCCCCGCCTCCCCTCCCTGCGCTGGGGATAAGGGGCGGCCGGGGAGAGTGGGGCGGAGTCGGGGGGACGAGGAAGAAGAAGGAGGAGGAAGAGGAGAGCGTGGAGGTCCCTGCACCCTCAGGTGAGGGGTACACGCGTGTACCCGTAGGCGGGGGTAGCGGGGGGCCCCACTCCACTCTGCGCCGCGAACTTCCCCTCGCGTAGAGGGAAAGTTTCTGGCGGCAGAGGCAGCGGGTTCGACCCCGGCGGGGCACAGCCGGCAGCAGCCTCCGCTCGTCGCTCGGCCGGGAGGAAGCCTGGGAGAGCCCGGCGTCCTCGGGCAGAGAGAGAGGCGCTGCTGCACGGTGAGAGAGAACTTGCGGGCCGGGGGTGTTGGGAGCGAGAGCCGGAACGGGCGCCTGTGCTCCCGGAGCCGCGTCGTGAAGGACGCGGCCGGTGTGAAGGCAGATCCGAGCCGCAGCGCCGTGGATGCGTGTCTCGACGCCTGTGCAGCATCTCCGCCAGCGCCGTGCCTCCGCACCCGGGATGCGGAGCGGTTTGCTTAAATTCCCTCTTTTGGGCTAGGGAGATTTGGATGCTCCCAGCTAGAGCGCTACGTGCACTGACGAATGCAACTTTAACTGTCATCCGCATCGCAAGCGCGTGAGCTTCTGATACGTGCTCTCTTCCGCTGTTAAACATGTTTTTTAAATGGAAGAGGGGAGAGGAAGGGATCAGACTTATGCCACAGCAAGAAAATAAAGTGGAAGAGATGCATCCGAGAAAAAAAAGATGAAAGTGATTAGGTGCTGGCAGCAAGATGCCTTTTGCAGTGTGTTTGTTGGGGACAGATGCCCCCTTATGCAAAGCATTTGGGGGGGTGGGGTGGTATCTGGATGGAAACTGGGCAGTAGGAATGCTTTTCTGGGAAAAAAAGAAAAGGTGGGGGGAAGGGCTGAAAAGAGACCACCAGAGCTCCAATCCTTCAGGTGGCCCTTTTCTGTGCCAGTGTCACTTCCCTTCATTACAGTGGCAGTGCTTGTTCCTCAGCCCAGGCTGTTTCTCAGAGTGTGTCTGTGCAGTGCTTGGCACAACAGGATCCTCATCTCGGGGCCTTAGGATGTTTCTGTAAACTGGGTTATAAATACACTCTCACACACACACACTCTCTTCCCATCCCAGCCTCTGCTTTGTGAATAGCTGGTTATAATGTGTGGATAAAAATTCTGGTTTTCTGTACAGATCTTATTTTCTTGCAAAATGATGCTTTTTTTCCATGCATTTAGTTCTGTGTTCCTAGGAAAGGCTTTTTATTCCTGCATTTAGGAGATTGTAGCAAGCTCCTTATCTTTTGTAAAAAAAATATTTGCTATGTAATCAAAAAGTACTATTTTCCTGACACTCCATTTTTAACTGTGGCCCCTCTTGGTTAAGCAGAACTGTCACTAAACTTAAACTTCCATACACAGAAGGATTAGGGGTATTATTTATTAACTGTACTGTGGAAAGTCCATATCTCATAACTTAGAAGACCATTTATAATAGGTTGCTTTTGGCAGCTCCAGAAGATTTACTTGCTGTCTTGTGTTCCTTGCAGGCAAAGTCTCTCCTATTTGCATGGAAAACATCACTCCAGCCCAGGGGCTTTCTGTTGGGAGGGCTTGGTGCTGGAAAGGGTCCTGCTTTCTGTCTCCACTGCCTGATTGTGGTGAGCAGGGGAGAGCAAGCATAGGGGGTTAATCTCCAACACTCACTCTCCTTCCTTCAAGTAGGTACGAAGTTGTTGCTGCCATTGGGAACACCTCTGTTGGAGCAGTTAAAGGATAAGGGATAGCAAGGGATGCTGGGAAGGTGGAAGCTGCTGCATGGAGGTGAAGCAGGGGGCTGTGGAGTGAGAGGTTGTGTTTCAAACACAATGCCCTTTGTAAGGAAGAGGACAGGTCTACCTGCACACAGCTTTCTGTCTATGAATTACATAGGAAGAACTGTGATTGCTCAAGTCTGCCTATGCCTGGTCCCTCCAGAGTATGTGAAGGAAAGCTGGGTCTGAACTTCAATGGGCTATCTCCTTTCAGACCTTCAGCACTCTGAACAGGTATCCTGAGTATTAGCTGGTATGCGTCAGGTATGAGTACTGGGATGGTCCAGAATTGAGAAAGCTCATACTCTGGGTCAGGTAGTGCTACCCCAAAGTGCCTGGCAGAAGCACATAAATAAGAGACTTCAGAGGGTTGAGAGAGTGGTGTGGCAGCATGTTGGATGGTGCCTGGATACATGGAGGTATGGGAAACACCTCCTTGCTGCCCCCAGTGCTGTAATTTTAAGCTCTGAGATATGTGTATGAGAAGGACGAGTCAGGGAATGTTTGTCCCCGCTTTTTTCCATCAGGCCTGCATGTGCCAGCTGCTGGCATTAAGGAAGAAACATTTCACTCCTTCAGAGTAAGAGGCCAGAACATGTTCTTTATTCCTTCTTCTCACTTATGTTTGGATTTTTATATTGGTTATTTTGGCAGGCGCATTATTCATATTCATTTCCCCATCTGTCCTGAGTCCCCCACTGTTGTTAAATGGCCTCCCATTTCAGCAAGACTCTGACTTGACAAAACTTGCTACAAAGAGAACCCTTGCAGCTGGCTGTGTGGGAGAAGTGTTCCACCTTGGCTCTCAGAGCACAGGTTGTATTAGCAAGGTGGACAGTCAGGAAGATTATGACCACTTTTGTATTTGAAAGTGTTCACATATCTGTGAGCATCCATGCTGTCCAGTCTGTCTTTTCATCATACAGCAACGTGGAATGCTTCAGGAATAAAAATAGATATATGGAAAAGCCTATATAAGCTGAAATCTGTGAACAGCACCATGTTATTTGGGAACTGCAATGCTTTCCACAGTGAAGCTCACAGTTCAGATACTGCTGGCTCTCCTCCTTCCTCCCCTGCCTTTCTCTTGACACAGCTCATGGGTTTCACTGTCCACATAAGCAAAGCCAAGAGCCGTCTCCTCTGTGGTGCCAGGCTGATCCAGGCTGGCTGGTAGCATCTCTATACCTGCTGGGTGAGAGCTGGCACTCCTCTGGCTGCTTGATTTGGGCCAGACGTAGAGGCAGAAGGAAGGCCAAGCTGGATGTTACGTTTGCCGCACTTGAATGACCCCCTGTTCTTGCACAAGCTCTGCAGCCTGAGTGTAGCTTGGGGGCCCATGCACAGGCAGGTTTCCTTCCCTCCAGGATTTGTAACTGCTTTGTTCTGTTCCACCATCAGCAGAATGTATGGCTGAGATCTGGTAACTGCTAAACTGCAATGAAACAGCTTCTTCTGGGAGGTATTTTAGGATTTCTCCCCACACCCCGATGTTTTCACAGAGCAGGCTTATCTCACGTTTCTCAGCCCCAGTGTTATGTGTAGGGCTTTTGCATGTGACAGATCCACGTGTATCCTTAGAGAGTGTAAAATGGAAACTGATTTGGTGAAATTAGTTCAAATTCTGCCTACGCTTTTGGGAATTTTTATCTTAGCCAGTGCGTTTGCTACCTTCAACCTCGGAGGTCCCAACGAGACACATGCACAGATAATTATGTTCATAAATTCAGAGTCTTATTTAACAGAAAATAAAATAGAGGAACCTGAATATACAAGTGTATGTATTTTGTTATAGGGTTCCTAAAAATAGTTGCTGGTAAAATAGGATTTCTACTGCAAGCCAAGAATTGTCTTTAGTCAGTCCTTTGTTAATTTAGTGACTCTCAGTTTCATTAGATGGGGGCTTTATCCCCAGGGATTCCTCTTGACACCAGTTTCTCCCGAGTCTGGATGATTATCCGATTACAATTGTAAGATAATTACAGCAAAGAGAACTGGCTAAAGATAGAACTCTCTGAGAGTGTTGGGGAAAGAGAAGGAAGGAGTGTGAAAGAGTGAGAGCTTCACTTTCTCGAGAGTAAAATGAGGAGCATTATACCAGTCCTTAACTTTTGCAGCAAGTGGAATCAAGGTCCCCGGTGTTACCTTTGGACCTTCTTGCTTTCCTTTTTTCTTTCTACTTCTCTTTTGTTATATTCCGACTCCACATTTATATGAAAAAGTTTTATTGATTCTTACGGATTCTTTTTAGATTTACATGTGTTAACAAAAAGGGATTGTTTACTTAAAAGCTTTGTGTGGGACAAGGAATAAGAGATTGCTGTGAATTCTGAGCTGAGTCAGGGGAGTGGAAGGTGGCTTCTCCTGCGAACAGCCAGAGAACCATTACCCTGGAAATCCCACCCAGAGTAGTATCATTAAGAGCTACCAGCTACCTCTAGGTGGCCACAGAAGAAGATCATATTATCATGCCTGGAAGGAGAGCTGGATGCGCTCCCATCCCATGCCCATCATGGGTATTAGCATCCCTGAGCTGGTGTGAGAGACTGTCTAGTTGATTCAGAAGCATTTGACACTGCCCTCAAGCCCATTTACTCTTCTTTATTGCTAACATCTCACTTAAATGGGACTGGGCAAGCTTTAGTGTTTAACCTTTGCAGCTTTGGATCTGGCTTCAGCCAGAGTGGCCATGGGGCAGCGGGTTGTCTGGGTGCAAGCTGCATTGCAGCCTGGAAATACCATGGTAAAATGCTGGTTGTTAGCTTTGCATGAAGCTCGTTGGGCAGTTTTATTGTGTGACTGAAAGGCAAAGGTACAACAGGAATCATGCACTTGCACAAATACTTAAGGAGCCTCTTCAGCTTTACTGAGAGAAGGTGTTATCAGAATTAGAGGACTTTAAAAAAGGAAAAAGTAAGTGTTAATACCTTTCTGCCTCTGCCTAGAAAAGCTGCTGTGTGAGGTTTTTGTTTGTTTGGTCTTCTCTCCTGGTTTTGCTTAATCCCTTGCATGACTAAAATTAAAGTGTAATGGAACATCTTGACTCTCTTAGGCCTGATGCTGTCCACTTCCAGCTATGTGATATTTTCAGACGTTCAGAATGTGATTCTTATGGATTCGATCAACTTGTGTATAAAAGCTTGCGAAACTGTGACCTAAATGCTTATCCTTAGTGCTGACAGGATGTTGTGGAGCTGTTTAACTATGTATTTATAACAATTACGCTGCTTGGTGAGAAAGACATGACGTTTTCCTCTCTGAGGGGTTGGTTTTTGTTTTGGGGTTTTTTTTTGTTTATTTTGTTTTGTTTTGTTTTGGGTTTTTTTTTTTTTTTTTTTTTTGCCTTTTCCTGCCTGTGATTTGTGGTTATAGTTGCCTTTCTTTATCATTTTACCTTTGTCCTAAATGTAAATAAAGAGCTAATTACAGTTAATCTCAGTGCAGAGGAGTGAAATCTTTTACAGTGAAAAATAACTCCCATCTGTTACATTTGCAGTAGCATTT